AAGCCCTTCCCCATGGATGAGAGCCCCCCCAGGGCCCACAAACCCCCGCTCTCCCCCCGCCGCGGTCGGGGGACCATGTCGAGGCTGTGGCACCAGCCAGCAGAGACGGGGGCAAAACCTGGCTGCGCATTTGGGTTTGAATGTGCAGCGTTTGAGCAGCTGGAGTGGTTTGCAGCCCATCACCCATCACCCAGATGGCATCAGCCACCCCGCCAGACCAGAAGCCGTGGGGGTGACCCCGGCACTTACCTGGCAGCACCCAGAGGCCCCACAGCACGCAGCTCCAGAGCGGCCACCGGCCCCGGCACCCCATGGCACTTCCTTGGTGGCAAGGACAGGGCTGTGGCTCTCCCTGTCCCAGGGGAGCGACGCAACGGGGGGTGGCTCCGTCGGTGAGCACTCCCCCGGGTGGGGGGGGACAAGGGCACCACGTGCCCTGCCTGGGGCATGGATGGCTCCACATCCTCAAACCCCACCGTGGAGGTGACCGCATCCCAGTTCTGGGGACCCACTGATGCCAGGGGACACCCATTCTCCATGAGAGGTTTTAAGGCCCTTCCTACGATGACCCCCACAGTTGACACCCCAAGGTTGGGGTCCCCAACCCCTGGGGAGCACCCGATGGGCTGCGAAGTCACCTGGCCCAAAGGCCCTGGGATGGCAAGCGGGGACAGGGGTCCCCACCACCTCTGGCAGAGGTGGGTCAGCCCTGCGCCCTGCACCCCCAACCTATCCCCGCTCCCCCGTTTGCTGCCGGGTCCCTGACATGCTTGGCCGAGCAGCCAATAACCCCTGGCAGGGGTGGGCTCGCCGCCAAGGAGGAAGAAGGAAGGAGCAGCCTCCCGCTGCCGCCCCGGGGTCCTGCGTGCTAGCCCTGCCCCATGCCCCCTCCCAGCACCGTGGGCACCGACGCCAGGGACCTACGTGCTGGGGTTATCTGTGCCATCGCGGCAAACGCCCACGCGAGCCCAGCTGGCGGGGGGTGTTCCCGCACAGGCAGCGGGGCCAGGCCTTGCCCTGGGTTGCAGGTCACCTTCCACCCCAGACAGTAGCCAGGCACACCCGGCTGCACAAAGGGTCCCCGTGGGGCCGCTGCAGCAAATGCAGGTTATGGGGCCCAGTCCAGCTGCAGGATCATTTAAGGAGGGGGGGGAATAAGTTGGTGAAGGTGCTGTGCCTTCCTCACTTCATTGACAGCCATCCCACCTGGCTGCCACGCCATATTAGCTGCACCTTAGACAGGGAAACTGAGGCACGGAGAGCCCAAAGCACCTACACATAGCCATGCCCGCAGCAGCACCGGCAAAACCCCCTGTCCACACTCTCAGGGAGGGCTGGGAGAGGGGAGATGAGCGGAGCCGTGGGTGCACATGGGTGATGTGGCTGGGTACCATCTGCCACAGGGAGGGATCCATGGCCACGCCGGGGCAGCCCTTCCTGCCTGGTGCCCCACTGTGCATGGCGTGGGTGCTCCTCCGAGGCCACCAGCTCTGGGGACCAGGTACCAATGCCCCATTGTGATAGTTGGTTTGGGCACTGAGGCCCTCCTCCACCTGCACGGAGACCTCTTCCTGGTGCCACTGCAAGGTGGCACCTCAGGCAACCCAATGGAGGGGCTCTGACGCCCACCGGG